TCAGGTAAGTTAGTAACGATTCGACGTATGCGATTCCTCGCTTATGCTTCACAGCTCACCACCAAGCCTCCACCCTACTGCACCATTACAAACTTACCTGCTCATAAGTTGCTTGTGAAATGCAGGTTGCAGTTTTGCTATCTATATTTGCGAAACTTATAGACTCTATCGATCTGCCCAGGTCTCCATTCCAAGTTCCATAGTAAGTTGGCGGACTTCCCTGGTCAGAGAGAAGTGAACTCCAACCCCTGAGCTACAGGCGGAGCTTACCTGACGTTGAGGATCCCAGGCGAGGTCGGTCGTATTTGGTCAAGGGAAGGAGGGGGACCGTATTTGCATTTGAGGGAAATGTTGTGGATTTCCTCGGTATTTCCAGTTTCAATGTCCCTCCTTCCTCCACCCCCCCCCCCCATCTGCTCGATCGCAGTTTTCGAAGAAGATGAGAAGGAATTTTGGAAAAAGCTCTAGAAAAGTTGTAGGAAGCTTGGAAGATGTCAGGCAGCTTAGGGAATGGAGAAGGGGGTCGTATTTTACAGGAATTTCTCTCAGCGGCTGGATGTGCCCTGATCGTATGGGTACTAGTCTCCTCATTGAACAGCGACAAGTGCAGGAAGAAGAGTTCGAGATAGGCATTGTCATCGTTATGTGAACTTGAAGCGGGTTTGTATTAGGCCGCGGTAAGGTTGGGAGAAGGGTTTACCAAAGAAGAAATCCCGGGAGGAGGGGGTAGCGAAGAATTTCAAGAATTTGGCCTAATGAGCGATGATATGAACTGATTTGAGAATTTTTCGGGTCGTTCGACCCATTTTCGCAGGAAAATCAATTTAGTGGGTAATGTGTGGCTGCTGTCTGCTGGGAAAGGTGGTTTAAGTGCAAAATATATCACCTGCTGGAATACTCATCACTTAGTGGAGTCATTCAGTAGAGGCTATGCGTACCTAGCCCTAATCGTAAAGCTCTCTTTTTCGTAGCGTAGTATAGGTTGCTATCCGAAAAGGATGGGCTCCGAAGGTGCTTGTGAGAGATTGTTCATTTCCCAATTACTGTCTGTCTGTGGCCGACTGCAATGATCTAGAGATCACTCCACGCGTTCACTCTTGAAGCTCAAGAGCGCCTTTAGGGTGTATAGTCCTGTCGAAAGCTGAGTATATGTATCTAGTTTCGCAACTCGCAAAAATAGTGAGGAAGAGCGAAAACCGTCGAGGGCAAAGGTTTCCGCCGCACTCCCACTACCACGTGCAACGCCCTTGCATTCTAAAACTGTACTTGATGTGCGGTTGCTCCAAGCTGGTAATACCTGGGTTTCGAATGGTGAGAGTGAGGTGATGAGGAGAGAGAGCCAAGTGAGAATTCGTCCACCCACGCACTTTTTTCGCCTTATGCACGTATAAGCATCGTTCAGCATGGGTTTCTATAAGGGGCATATCAGACGCGTTTTTATGCCTTCCTCCTCTTTTCTAGTGCCGCACAAGTTTATTTTGAACGCGGGCCGTGCCTTTGAAATTTCGAATTTTCAGTCGTTCGATAATTTTTAATATGATTTGCTCCTTTTTTCAGAAACCGTGGTCATTCGTCAACATCATAGCAGCGGTCCGAGCACAACTCACGCTCACACATCTGTGATTCTTCCACCGGATCGTGGCCTATCCGGTTCAGACCCCGGAATTGGACCCGTTGAACAGCGGCTGATAGTTAGCCCTCTAGACGCGCAACCACCAATGCCGTCACAGTCGCAGCCGACACAACGTCCGCCCCGCAAAAATCGCAGTTTGCTCAGTTGTATACTTCCGAATCGCTCGCCATGATGTTTTCCAATTGATTTTTTTCTCATTAGTTAACTATGACTAGTGATGTATGCGATTTTATTTGCTTTGCGCTCATGATGATGTATCGATTTGGCCTTTTCGTAGGGGAGGTATCGCAGGTGTTCAGTCAGGTAGTGTAACGGGAGCGATAGGCAGGGGCATGCGAACTTTGAGATTTTCTCTGGTCATTGAATTAGCGCGGTTTCGAGAATAATCTTATTGTGTGGGAAGCTTGCCCTGGAAAAAGTACCGAAATCGGTTCCCCCTTACTTCTCAGAATCTTGCCAGATTCCCACTGGGTGGAGAAGGCTACACTTATTATTGCTCTAAGGCCTTTCACGCTTACTGAAATGGGGGGGGGGCATTTTGCACTCTGGCTGCTTCACTAGTTCTGGTTTACTAGTCTCACTCTGGTGAAACCTGTGAAATCTTGTGAAGGTCGTTGAGCAATCAGGTAAAACCTAGTAACCCTTGTAAGCTGACGAAATGGCTCTCCAGTTTCGCCAACACGTCAAAGGAGAGTAGCAAGTAGCAAAGTGCAAAATGCCCCCCCCCACGTCGCCGAAGTGCCCCGAAATGCGTGTTAGCTGCGGCTCAGTGTGGGCTGGTGCTGCTGCTAAGCGAGAAATCCTACGAAGTTAATATCTGGGAATCATTTCGCCCCAATCAATTTGGCCAAAATTTTGAGAAGTTAGGATGGGGCGCTATGGTTCTTGCCCCATGCCAACTTCGGTGAGAGCCTGAGAGGGGCGGAGGGCTATCTGTCATTTGCCATTCTCATACTTCGAAGTAGCTTAGGTAAGGCAACATGACATATGAATTTGGACCAGGCCGGGAAAACTCAATACCTTGGGTATGGTTGGTTATTCAGCAGCAAAGGCGGAGAGCACTGGCCATTTTTCTGAGCCCAAATGGGCTGAGTAGGAGGCTTTCCCAACCTGGCTTCTATTTCTCGCCGAAACATGATCCCATAAGTTTTTCTGGCGCAGTTCGGCTTTGTGGCTGCCTCTGCTGGTTTCCCCTCGCTTACTGCAGATACCTCCTGTGGAGAACCTGTAAATTCTTGCAAAGTTATACAGTAGCATGGCTTCGTTTACCCTTGTCAAGAGTCGACAGGTCTTAGCAAGGTGAATTGTGTGGTTTCACAAGAACTGACAGGGTACAATATGACCCCCCCCCTAAGCCGAACAACGCTGTTTTTTCTTTTGCGCGATCCAAGCAAACATCTCAACGCTGTCCTTGTGCCGGGGAAGATATGAGGGATATGTCAATCGCTATTAGTGGCCGATGACATTATCATTGGCGAGCGTTCTTATCGGTACGTTACT